GTATATATTGGCTACAATTTGTAAAATCAGCACAAATCAAAGGTTCGAATTGTGATCGTACAAATTCTATTACTACAAAATCTGAGTTTTTTCACCATATTTATTATTAAATAAAGTTTTTTCATCCTTTCAAGAAAACCCTGCTGTTTTTAAGAGGTTAATCGATTTTAAAGAAAGGTTATGACGTCGGAGAAAATTGAATGTTCTTGAATTTCCATGTCCATTGACTTGACTCCTAAAAGTGTGCCCCAAAATCCTGGATTTAAGGGCTCTACTACCGAGAATTTTTATACCCTAACGCACTTGTGCACAAGGGTATTATAACTATAACGGTTGTTTGTAACATACAAAACGAATCAAAACAGATATAGAAAAATGTATACATAAATGATGAATGAAAAAAGAAATCAATTAAGCGGTGACTGTCTCTCCGTCGGTCTGTTCATCTGTGCACACGATAACTCGGCTAAAAATTAAGATATCTTATACTATGTTCACGTTGGGCCATCAACTCGAGTTTAGTTAGTAATTTTCAGTAAACTCTCCCTCAACACCACTTTTATTTGAAGTTTATGCGAATGCAACCCTTTTTTGATCGAATTTGGTTTGAGTCTTTGGTAGTCCAAATCTACAACCAACTTGCCGACAGTTAGACTGTTCCCGTACTGCAGGACTTAATCAGAAATAGTCCGAGGTCGTTCCGTGCACATAAGTCTAGAATAACAACAATCTAGCTATGCAAAAACAATAAATGTGGCTCGATGGAACTTTTGATTCCAATCCTATCAAAATTATCTGGCGGAAGTAAACAATAAATAAGATATCAAAAGTAAATGTTAAATGTTATGATTTCTTTAATTATTAATATCTAGTGAAGAACATAACCTATTAAAAAACGAATGACGTCAAAATAAAGTTCCACTTGGAGTACATAATTTTCTCCTTTTCTATATTTTTAAGCCAGAAATACCTAATAACCAAAAAATATATAAATATGTGACCTGGTCTACGGAAAGGGGGCTTAGGTGTCAAA